TTCACTGTTTTTGGCCTAAATGTCAATACAAGACACAAGACAAATATTATTTAATTCAACATAAATTAATTCATTTAGAAAGTAAACTATTTAAATGTGATTTTAATAATTCTTGTAATAAAAGTTTTAATAATAAACATGGTTTGGTTGACCATAAAAATAGTGTTCATTTAAATGTGAGATTTGTTTGTAATTTCAATGAATGCCACAAAAGTTTTAATAGTAAAGGAAAATTAAAACATCATAAAAATATTATTCATTTTTTTAAGACAAACAGTTTACACTGTTTCTGGCCAAAATGTAATTATTCGACGAATAGGCCTTCTGGTTTAAGACAACATCAACATGGGCATCTTAATTTAAAACAATTTATATGTGATAATAATAATTGTAATAAAATTTTTAAACAAAAACGCCATTTATATGATCACAAAAATAGTGTTCATTTAAATGTGAGATTTATTTGTGATTTCAATGAATGCCAAAAAGTTTTATATCAAAAAGAAGTTTATTTCTCCACAAAAGTTGTGTTCATTTGAATGAAAGGAAATTCAAATGTAATGAAGAAAATTGTGGCAAATATTTTNACAAAAGTTGTGTTCATTTGAATGAAAGGAAATTCAAATGTAATGAAGAAAATTGTGGCAAATATTTTAGTCAAAAAACCCATTTCATTCAACACAAACGCATACATTCGGGTGAAAAACCATTTGTTTGTCAATTCTATGATTGTAACAAAAGATTTTCACAAAAATCTAATCTCAATAAACATATGAAAAGACATCTGAATATAAAAAGCCATAAATGTATTCATAATAACTGTAATCAACGGTTTGTTACATCTAGTGAATTGCGATCACATATTAATTCAATACATAAATTAAAATAAAATAAATTATAGTATTAATACATACTATAATTAATCTAAAAATATTATAAAAAAGACAGAAATGTTGTTTATTTTTGCAGAATTAAATACTATATTATCTATCTTTTAGAAAATAATAAATTCAATAAATACTGTATGAATGAAATTTATTCCTAAATATATTATTAACGATTATAATTAATTATGTTGTAATTTCAATTTAAACAGTCATAAAAATTACATCAATTAAAATAGAACTGACAAATTAACACATTTGTAAATAATAATAAACAAAAATAAATTACATTTTCTAATAGATATTTTCTGACTAGTAATGGTAAAAACATTTACATATAAAATATAAAAAACACATTAATAAATACTAATTTAATTATAGTGCAAATAAAATGTTGCATTAAATACTGTATTATAGTGTTGTTCAAGGACGGAACGCGTTCGATTTTCATTAATCTTTTAATTTTTATACAGTGTGTCGGGCCTATACAATACACAATTTATCCAGTAAACTGTATGAAAATAAATTAATTAATGTAAATCGAACGCGTTCCCTCCTTGAACAACACTACTGTATTACAATCAATTACTGTTACATTTAATTATAAAATTAATTAAATATAATTGACTACACAATAAAAATAATATACAGTATATTTCAAGACTAGACGTTATGCCACTTATAAATAAAACACTTTCACTAAATTATAAATACAATTAATAAATAATATATAATTAAGTATAAAATATCAAAATAAAAATATTGTATTACAAATAAATTTTCATTAAAGAATCATGATCAATTCCTACTCATGCTCGCATATGCAACATTCACCAAAACTGGTCAGTTGGAGGGGTTCGGGTGAACGGCCAGCTTATGGTCCTCGACGTCCATTTGTGTGATAAACCATTTGCCGCACAAATCGCACTTCACGTGAGGGACAGTCGCCGCCAATTCCGGACACTCACTGATAGCCCGCTTTAATTTAGCCCTCATTCGCCGACTTAAGTGCCGAAGATTGCCGTTAGGTTTCGGGTGTTGACCACCAATCATCTCAACTGTTGGCCATTGGTTACCAGTCAACTGAACCGTAGAGCCGGCCGTTGGGCAGACAGTAAACTCGCCATTGGTTTGAGCGTTGATTTGGTGGTCATATTGAGTGTAGTATTGAGTAGATTGTTGGCCAATAGGGCCGGTGTATGGGTTATGATACGGCGCTAACTGTTGAGTGGGTCCAGGGGTCGGGTGCGGCGGCACTTCAGCTATAGATGATGTGGTCATTTGCTCAGTAATTGTCGTATAACTAGTGTAACAAAATAATTGAATGATTAAATTATTGTTTTAAATGAGTATTTCTAATAAAAATTACTTAAAGTACGGCCTAATATTAGAACCGGTGTTAGGAAATGGATGGCGTGTTAGGTCAGCGGCACCGGTAGTCGAGTGGTGGACATAAACGTCAGCGCTCTGTAGGCCAGAAGGACCGACAGTAAAACACTGGCTGTTATACTCAGCCATTTGATGGCCAATACCAGTGTATTGTTGACCAAACTGTTGAGCAAAACCATACGGTGTTTGATGTGATGGTGACTGAAGGCTAGGCCCAGGAGTAGACGAGTGCGGGGGCGGCTCCGCACCGGAAATGGATGGCTGAATAGTGTTTGCATTATTACCAGTGATTTGGGTATCAAAATCCGGTCCACGGATCAGTTGCGGCGGCTGTGCATCACTCGCTACGGGAATGCAATCAGTATTTGGGGCACCGCTGGTGTCCGGCGGCGGACAGTCGGTGGGCCCGCCGTTGGTGTGAAAGCGCTGTTTATGTGTCTCCACTCCGGTGTCGGTGCGAAACCTTTTGCCGCACAAATCGCACGGTTTGTGCCGCAGATTCCGGTGTCTGACCGCAGCGTTGGTGCGGTCGAGGAGTGCGCGGTTCATATGCCTGCGGGCGCTCTTCGACAGCACAGTTGGGTCGGCACAACCGGTGGACGAGTAGTGACGGTCGGGGCTGTTATGAGCAGCCATTTCGTGGTCATGTGGTAGAGCTCCGGGCGCTGGTGTTTGACTAGTGTTTGCGTTATTACTATTGTTTTGGGTATAAAAGTATGAATTAATTACTGTTTTAAATGAGTATTTCTAATGAAAATTACTTAAAACACTGCATAATAACAGAGTCGGTGTCCGGCAATGGCTGACCACTGACTACTGGCGCAGAGTTTGTACCGTCCGGTGCTTTACCGGCGCTGTACTCATGGGTTAGTATCACGTCCTCGACATCGGAGCCCAAATCACTAGACATTCATTGAAATGATACATAAAATACATCAATAATTAATATCTTAAACATCAAAACAAAGACATACTGTTTGTTGTCAACCGATCGAGTGTCAGGACTGAAAGCACCGGTCATAGGGCTGGACGTTGACTGCTGTCCACTGGCAATCACAACATCTGATCCGCTGGCGATCGGTTCCCGAGTGATGACCTCTTTGTGGCCATCGATGGCATGTCTGTGGCCTTTGTGTGCATTCAATCGGCTTTGAGTTGAGAAACTTTTGTCACATTTTTCGTAATCGCATTGAAACGACTTTCGGTGGACGACAAACGACTCGACAATTGACTCATAAGTCAATGAATGACTGAAAAGACACAACATTTGTGACAATTGAACGCATGGTTTGTCACAATCCATACAAACCTATCACTCGATGACATCCAGAAGAATGTGAAGACAACACTCACGAAGACATCACTACTTGTGTCCACACAAACGTAACGATCAATACTTGATTGCTAAATACATTTAAAATAATGTAAAGTTTATTTTGTTTACTAAACATAAGGCGATCGATATTTTGTTGCATAAATTACGACTCATTATTAATACTGTGTTTTGAGACCCCTTTCAACGCAAACGTATAGCAAATTCATAACGTTTTGAGTCAACAATATATGACGTTATTTATAGTCAATACAGAATATACAGTCGACTTTAGATAATAGTAAACATGTTTAGTAAAAGTGCAGAGAAAACATAATTCAATTACAAAACTATTTAAGCAATTAATGTAACAAATATTTTCACTTCAAAAATCGTGTGAAAATTATTTTATTTTTATAAAATACTAAATCAATGAAAATAATTTACAACTGAATATATTTATATATATTTTTAATTAAACAAATAAAATATTATTAATCTACATGGTTCAATTTTAAATGTTTAGTTAATGATGATTTAGTAGTGTATGATTTGTTACAATGTTTTATATTACAAATAAATGGTTTTACATTTAAATGTTTACTATTCATATGAGCTGTTAATTCACGATTAGCTGCAAAACATTTGCCGCAATCACTTGAAAGGCACTTAAATTTACGAATATTTGTGTGAAATAGTTTGTGATTCGATAAACTCGACGAACAATTATAAGTTTTGTTACAATTACTAAAATCACAAACAAATAATTTTTCTCCTTTTAAATGTATACGATATAAATGTTGTCTCAATTCCCCTTTCGTAACAAAGCGTTGATTACAGTTATTATGAATACATTTATAGCTTTTTGTATTCAAATGTCTTTTCATATGATCTGTTAAATCGTGTTTTCTGAGAAAACTCTTTATGCAATTTTTGTAACGACAAACAAATGGCTTTTCTCCCGAATGTATGCTTGTGTGTACATTTAAATGTTGTTTTATTTTAAAAATTTTGCCACAATTTTCTTCATTACATTTGAATTTTCTTTCATTAAAATGAACACAACTTTTGTGTTGAACTAAATGTGATTTTTGTCGGAAACTTTTGTGGCATTCATTGAAATCACAAATAAATTTCACGTTTGAATGATATCTTTGTTTGTGAGAATATAAACATGATGATTGTTTATAAATTTTATTACAATTATTAAAATCACATTTAAATTGTTTTATTGATGAATGAATTAATTGATGTCGAGTTAACATATGTTTATTTGTTGTCTTGAATTGACATTTAGGCCAAAAACAGTGGAAATAAT